TTCGTAGGTACCGCCCCCTGGTGGCTCAACGGTAAAACTTGAGGGGTTGTAACACTAAAAATTGGTGTTTGATATCAGCCGTGGGCACAGCGCAGATAGCTTACTGTGTAGCTGTGCTCTTAAAAAAACAAAAAAACATAGGTATCAAACGCTTGATTTTAGTTTGCTTATCTACCTGTAGATGGCACTTTATAAGGAACAACAGTTATAGATTGAATAATCAAAGTCCTTTTTTCGAATGTCAAGTTTTAAAATAACTTGATTGGTTTATAATATAATTTTTCATAATTTCTGTTTGAAGATAAGTGATTTATGGTAAGTATTAATAAGTACGTTAACTAAGTATTTGTACTACTTTGCATCTGCTGTTGATAAGACTACATTTAATTATGTATCAATATTTTGTAATTTGAGCTATGTTCAGGTTTTATTGATGTAATATGTGTTTACGTGTGAATATTTGATTGTTTGCGTTTCTTTTCCTGTCCACCTCTATCTCTGTCTAATATACCGAGGTAAAACTAACGCCAAAGTTCACAAGTCAACGTCTGACTTGTTTTATTCAAGATTTTAGCACTCTTGATATTGACAACATTATTAAATGTTTTTTATTCTAGTTTTTAGCACTCTTGACATTGACAACATTATTAAATGTTTTTTATTCTAGTTTTAGCACTCTTGACATTGACAACATTATTAAATGTTTTATTCAAGATTTTAAGCACTCTTGATATTGACAACATTATTAAATGTTTTATTCTAGTTTTAGCACTCTTGACATTGACAACATTATTAAATGTTTTTTATTCTAGTTTTTAGCACTCTTGATATTGACAACATTATTAAATGTTTTATTCAAGATTTAAGCACACTTGATATTGACAACATTATTAAATGTTTTATTCAAGATTTAAGCACTCTTGATATTGACAACATTATTAAATGTTTTATTCAAGATTTAAGCACTCTTGACATTGACAACATTATTAAATGTTTTTTATTCTAGTTTTTAGCACTTTTGATATTAACAACATTATTAAATGTTTTTATTCTAGTTTTTAGCACTCTTGACATTGACAACATTATTAAATGTTTTTTATTCTAGTTTTTAGCACTCTTGACATTGACAACATTATTAAATGTTTTTTATTCCAGTTTTTAGCACTCTTGATATTGACAACATTATTAAATGTTTTTATTCTAATTCTGTGCAGGAAGGAGGAAGAGCTGGATTTTTCATACCTGACCCTCCCAAATCCCAAAGAAGTCGTCCATAATTCGTTGGGTAGCTTTGAAGTAAGAAACAACGACATCTACCGACTGATAAATAATCCTAAACTTCCTACTTCTTGTCGCTTTAACCAATTTTGATAAACATGTTTAATAATAATTTGGAATAGGCACGTTTAAAAAAAATCCAAGGTCGGATATTAGAATGTAAACAATTATAATAGTATGATTCAGTTTGAACGTTTAATTCACAACTAACAGTTTGTTTAATATTCGTATAGTGACAAGAGTTTGGACGTTTAATCCACAACTAACAGCTTGTTTAATATTCGTATAGTCACAGAGTTTGGACGTTTAATTCACAACTAACAGTTTGTTTAATATTCGTATAGTGACAGAGTTTGGACGTTTAATTCACAACTAACAGATTGTTTAATATTCGTATAGTGACAGAGTTTGAACGTTTAATTCACAACTAACAGTTTGTTTAATATTCGTATAGTGACAGAGTTTGAACGTTTAGTTCACAACTAACAGGTTGTTTAATATTCGTATAGTGACAGTTTGAACATTTAATTCACAACTAACAACATGTTTAATATTCGTATAGTGACATTCTCCACAGCTATAAGATTAACGTTTGACATTTTAAATAACTGAATCCATAAATTCGTACGATATAATGTAGAGAAACTTTTGTGACGGATCCCAGTCACTTACTCAACTTTCTTTTTTCCTAAAACGCACGGTAATAGGCTGTTATCCGTGTTCTTTTGCGAGAAAGATAACTTGTAACTGTAGTTAGAAAACAGTGTTACGTGCTGTTACATTTTTGCATCAATTAAAACAAACACCAGCACAGTGTTACGTGCTGTTACATTTTTTCATTAATTAAAACAAACACCAACACAGTGTTACGTGCTGTTACATTTTTTCCATTAATTAAAACAAACACCAACACAGTGTTACGTGCTGTTACATTTTTTCCATTAATCTTAAAACAAACACCAACACAGTGTTACGTGCTGTTACATTTTTTCATTAATTAAAACAAACACCAACACAGTGTTACGTGCTGTTACATTTTTTCCATTAATTAAAACAAACACCAACACAGTGTTACGTGCTGTTACATAATTACTATAATTCGAACTTCTTTTCTCCTATCCAGGTTCATTTTATTTTATAAATATTGTCCATATTTCTGGTGTATTATAATTATAAATATTAGAACTTCCTTCCCTCTATCCAGGATCGTTTTTTTTTAAAAACTCTCCCATACTTCTGGTGTATTATACTTATGAGTATTTGCGCTTCGGCCCAGTTCTGCCAAACATTTAATATAATTTAATACAGCATCAATCTATTTTCGCGAGGAGAAAACATAAACAGTTTTAGCGATGGTTTTGATAAATGAGTAATTAGATATTCGTGTCTGACGAGATAGTTGTACAGATATTTTACTGTCTTCTTTCTATAAATAGTTGTCAAAAATGACTAATTTATCAGACAGTTATGTTGTTCTAGAGACGAATTTACGATTTTTTTCGAAGCGTATTTTATAATGGAGTTTGTTCCTCCTAAAGGCTAATATTTTGTCATCTCATAAGAAATGATTATCACAATAATTATTAGTTTTTCTCTCCGGGATATCAAGCATCACAGAGAGAGAGAGATGTAAACGAAGACAGACAATTATCTTACTGCAATCCATTGAAAGTAGCTAAACTAGCTGTACTGAGATGATACGTTTGTATACGATATGAAGGTTTCTAATTACAGATCTGTGTTTCATACATTTGACGAGGCTCATTCTTAAACCTAATGTTAAGATAGAAAGTTATTTGCTTAATTTCACGCAAGGCCACTAGAGGGCTATATTGCCTAAGCCGTCCGCAATTTAGAAGAAATATACTAGAGGGGACACCACACACCGCCAACTCTTGGGCTACTCTATTATCAAGGAATAGCGGGATTACCGTCACGTAATAACGTCCTCACGTCTGAAAGAGTGAGCACGTTCGGTGACGGTATTCGAACTTGTGATCTCTCCAGCAGGCCATGCTATGTAAATCTGTAAATAAATTAGTAAGATCCGATATTTTACTTTCAACGACCTACTACTTAAAAGTTTTAAAAAGTACTGTTTGTTTGTTTTGTAATTAAGCACAAAGCTACACGATGGGCTATCTGTGCTCTGCCCACCACGGGTTTCGAAACCCGGATTCTAGAGTTGTAAGTCCGCGGACACTGTGCCACTAGGGGGCTTTAAAAATTGAAAACTTTCTACAAATCCAATCATTTATATATATTTTTTTAAAGTAGCCAGTGTTAGTTTGTAGTTAAATGCAAAACTACACAATGTGATGTTTGTGCTCTGCCCACCACGGGTATCGAAAACTGGTTTCTTGTTTGTTATGAATTTCGCGCAAAGCTACACGAGGGCTATCTGCGCTAGCCGTCCCTAATTTTGCAGTGTAAGACAAGAGAGCTAGTCATCACCACCCGCCGTCAACTCTTGGGCTACTCTTTTTACCAACGAATAGTGGGATTGACCGTCACATTATAACGCCCCCGTAGCTGAAAGGGCGAGCATGTTTGGTGTGATGGGGATTAGAACCCACGACCCGCAGATTGCGAGTCGAGCGCCCTAACCACCTGGCCATAAACCGGTTTCTAGCGTTCTAAGTCCGCAGACATTCCACTAGGGGGCAAATATAGCCAGAAGCTCAAGACTATTAGACTTGTTTCTCTAAATTTTTGTGTTTCTTGTGAATTAATTAATTAATTCTCGTCGTTGACACTGTAGACATTAGATTATAGCTTATAAGAAGGTTACGTCGGTATTCTTTAGATTGTGAAATTTTAAATAGAAGTCATAGAGCAGAAAGAGTCTTAATGCCGAGAATAGATTTAGCAACCAGTGAAAAAAGTTTTCCATACGTACTTAAGAGACGACAATTTCCAGTGATAACGTAATTTGTGATAACTATTCATCAGTCTCAGGGACAAACCTTCCATCAAGTTGGAGTATTTTTGCCGGAACCAGTGTTTGAATATAGAGAACTGTATGTAGCTGTGACGAGAACAAGAGGTGAAAATAATTTTAAAATATTTGTGACTGATAGGGAGAATCATGGTCGAGTCTTTTATAATTTCGGTGATATCACAGCAAAATAGTTTAATTCAGAAGTTTTATGACATTGAGTTGTATCCAAAAGCAAAATAAAATATACCAAGTAGTGTTTCAGTTAAGCCTTACGTTACGTTTATGTATTAGGCCTAATGCTTAAATTAGGCTACAAATAGGCCTACGATTACTAACGTTATAGAGTCAGTGTTTTAAAAAGTTTTAAGTGGTGAATAAATGTTAATAAATAAATATTATTTTGGTATTTTAACATATATTTTATCTACTTGGCCTTAAAACATAAAGAAAAATAAAAGTTTATTACAACCAAATATTTTTTTATCCTTTGTACACTCGAAAGAGTTGAAAATTTGTGTCGGAATGTCCGCACTACGTTTTCTACTTCCTTACCTAGAAAGAATACAGTGAAAAGGCTGAGAAATGATATTTAAGTTTCTTTCAGAGTGCACACGTACTTTTGTTCACGATAACATTTCATTTTTCAGCATAGTTTTTACTAAAAATGCGATGATTAACGAATTACTTCAAAACTGATGAAATAAGTGAAGAGTAGGTGAATTTTGGAGGTACAATTAGTCTTAGTTAAATTCTATAATTTTCGTTAATCATTCAACAATGGTTTCCTGTCATTTTTGACGGGCTTTTATACCAGTATTGATAATACAAATTAGAACCATTACAATATCAAACATAACACGTTAAATTTTAAAGAAAGTCCGAGTTTTATACAGAATTCATCAAATACAACTGAACGCGTGTCAGACTACATGTATTTCATATTTCTGGCCAGTAGCTTTGGATTGGACGTTGTGTAATCGAGGTTATCCAATCAAGATAGCCCTGAACTCGGACGTAAACACCGGGCACGCCTTCCGTGCCACAATCGATACCCCAGGATACGATGCCAGCCAATTCATATCTACCGCCCTGCCTCCAACACACTAAAGGACCGCCTCCGTCTCCCTGTGATAATAAGTAATTATTATTAAAAATCTATATATTACTCAATATTCATTATCCTGCTTATTTCTGCACATTTTACTTTATCGAAGTTTACTTAGTTTTTGTAGTGAAGGAAGTCGGTCGCTCTAAATTTTCGCTATTAACGTAAGAACGACATGTTGGTAATTAACATAATTTACTCAAGTTTTATCATAATTTATTCGATGATTAATATTTGACCATCAAAGCGCCGTGTTTTCTCATACCGTTCAATACCAGTGGGGGTCCATATATTGCATCATATTGAGTAATATGCCTGTTACAGCACTCAGCGTTAAGAACTGACCGGGGGGGGATTGTTGTTGTTGTTTGAAGTTAAGCATAAAGCTACACAATGGGCTATCTGTGCTCTGCCAACCACGCGTATCGAAACCAGGTTTTTAGCGTTGTAAGTCTGCAGACATGCCGCTGTGCCACTGGGGGGCTGGGGAGAAAATGAATTCGTGGGATTAATTACAATACTGAGAGTATTTTGTTTAAGTCCTGCTATTAATAAGCGATATAGTAAAGGACTCACAGGCAATTTGATGCGTAACTAGTTTTAAGAAAGCGTTTAAAAAAAATAGGTAATTCTAGGGTTAAATATTAAGTCGTTTAAAACAAATATTTGTTGGTCAAAATATCTATAGAAATGAAAAAAAAAATCCGATATGACTGATATCTCAGAGAACTGGATTAAGGTAGAAAATCGGGTTTAGGTTATAACTGGGTTATAAATCGGGTTTAGGTTATAACTGTTCAGTTCAGTAGCAATCTAGAAAAGTGTAAGTTGATTTATTCGAAAGAGGCTTTATGTGTGAAGAAAAGCGTTTTCTTTAGAGATAAGTTTATACAATGCTGTCGAAACGTATATCACATTTTAAAGAGTTTGGGCTTAGTAAAGGTTGATGCGACGTTTCGGGTTCTAAGCTGAATACTTCAATGGTTAGGGGTAATGCAATGTTTCGGATTCTATGCTGAATACTTCAGTGATTAGGGTTGAGACAACGTTTCGGGCTTTAGGCTGAATACTTCAGTGGCTAGAGATGAGGTGACGTTTCGGGTTCTAGGCTCAATACTTTAACGGTTAGAAGTGAGGCGACGTTTCGGGTTCTAGGCTCACTACTTCAATGATTAGGGGTGAGGCGACGTTTCGGGTTCTAGGCTGAATACTTAATGATTAGGGGTGAGGCGACGTTTCGTGTTTTAGTTTGAATAATTCACCAGATATGCGAAAGACTCAGCATAGAGACAAGAAGTTCCCTGTTGTTTTTAAGGGTTAATCAAACTTAAGTGTCTTCGAAGATTTTACAATAGTGAATATTTCTCACTGAAAAACTCGCCATGAAATATTTTGTGTTGACCATCAGCCATTACTTACGAAATGGTTAACGGAATTTTCGTTAAAATTATATCAATATGTCCTCTACTTTTATATATAAAGACTTGACTCTCATACTCCGAAATTCAAAGGTTCGGGCTAAAATAAATATCATATTGTACTATTAGTGACATATCTTACATATCATTTTGTACTATTAATGACATACCTTACAAGAGTCTTTCTTCTCTTCTCCACCAGCACAAATGAATTCACTGTACAATTTAAAATGTTTGTATAGCCTCGTCTCCCTGAGAAGCGTTTGACATTGAGAGTTATCAATCACAGGAACAATAACTTCTTTTAAGATATTGGAATATGTACCACTCTCTGAAAGGAAGAAATACTATTGTTTACCTTGAAGTGAAACCTCAGTTACATACTATAATAGTTCAGATGAATGAAAACTTCTTTAAATACGTTGCTAATACCATAAACCAAAATAGAAATTAGAACTTACCTGAGGACCAGAGTAAAGAAACTATTTTCTGAATACATTGTTCTCTCGCAACGAAGTCTGTCGAATCGACCGACCTCGTAACCATTTTGTACTCGTTATAGTTTCTATACTATAACTCTTAATACATGTAGAAAAAAATCAGGTTTTTAATATAGTATTCTTACTAAAGATTTGTCCATGAATATATACATTATTTCTATATACTAGTCCAAGACTAAGTAATTTGCACATTAAGATTAAAATAATAAAATACTTTTCTTCTTGTCAAAAATTTCAAATTTTATTTGCGTAATCCTTAAAACCTCCTAAATAAATTTCAAACGCTTTCTTTCAGTAAAACTTTATATTTTGTCTGTTATTTTCTCTACTCTAACTTTAAACAAGATTGGTCAATTTGACTGACCTCGTAACCATAAAAATCTAAACAAATCTAAATTACCCTTCTTTTTTTCTAGAATTACTTCAAGTTGTAATATGAAACTGCATTTGTTTATCCTAAACAGTATGCATCTATTTATACTTGAATTTTATTGTTTTCTGCCCTTTGAATCCTGTCGAACTACTAATCACGCCATTATAAATTGTAAATCACTTGGTGAACGTGCAGGTCACGTTACACTATCGAATTATATAATATTACGTACGAACTACTCGCAAGGTGCTTGCTAGCGTACCTTGTGAAAATATTTTATTATTATTATTTATTTCACCCAATATAACCTTAACGAACATAAAAAGTTTCATATTTTTACATTTTAGTTACTTTTATAATAATAATAAGTAAAGAATAAATATGAAAAACAAGAAAAAAAATTAATTTTTTTCTTCGGGGTCTTTTTTTTTGTTGTTGTTGTCGACTGTTGATGACACTTAACCTTACTTTTTTATACTTATGGTATTATTGCACTAAATGATTTTTTTATATGTAATTAAATATTGCACCAAAAATCACAGAATAATAACATGCAAATAGCAGACAATGTCTCATGACTATTACAATTTGTCTGGTTTTCTAACTATGCGACAAGAGCCGTTAATACTTCATCTAAGCTTGTCGATGTGTTTCACGTGAGAATCAAGCTTGAACTAAAAGCTAAATTGACAGAAAACAACTTAATATAATACGTTATTTGATATATGCAAGCCTAGGCTTTCTATTGTTTATAAATAATATAATATTGAACGTCAGAGGGAACTACTGGCAAGTTTTAAAAGAGTTTGTTTTGTTTTTTTGAATTTCGCGCAAAGCTACTCGAGGGCTATCTGCGCTAGCCGTCCCTAATTTAGCAGTGGGAAGGCAGCTAGTCATCACAACCCACCGCCAACTCTTGGGCTACTCTTTTACCAACGAACAGTGGGATTGAAAGGACGAGCATGTTTGGTGTGACAGGGATTCGAACCCGCGACCCGCAGATTGCGAGTCCAGTGCCTTAACCATCTGGCCATGCCGGGCCAGTTTTGAAAGAGAGGATGTGATATATGGGCGTAGAAAGAGGGGGCTAATTGTTGATTTCATGGCTATGTAACCAAATAAGAATGAAGGCTACGACAATTATACTTTCCCTGAATAATTACGATATTATAATAAGTAATTTATGTTACATTTAGTACGTTTTTGGGGTAAATAAATTAGAGGAGACGGGATGCTTAGAACAGAGAGCAAATGTCACAGTTCTCACAGTAAAGTAAGTCGTAGATATTTTTGGATATGGCCTTATAAAAGTAAGAACTTTAAACTTATATACTATT